TACTGGTATGTTTTCTGTTCACCACACTCATTTGTGTGTAGAAATACACCATATCTCTTACAATGTTAAAGAAACAATGTTATTAAAAGCATTGTTTAAAAAACTCCAATATTATATTATAAGTTACATACGTATATGATATCCAGCAAACTCTTATATACCCTAGAAATCAAGAAGTTTAGGTAATAGCCTCTTAGAGACCAAATCTATTTTAGATGATGACAAAACAAAACATAAAGTTCTTATTTTATCAAGAACACAGATTTCAAAAGGTAGAAAAGCCAGTCTCATCTTCTCATAAGGATGTTCTTACATAGAGTCACATTAACACTTGTTATTTCAATCTCACCTCATGGAACTTGCAGGAACCCACATTTCAGAAATGTACTTCTAAAAAATTTGGCTGGAACTGGCTCAAAGATTCAAAACTAACTCGACACAAGGGAGACACTGCAATGTGAGTGACATGACTGCCTGAGCTCCTCAAGACACCAGTTTTAAAAGACCCTATAATTAAAAGTCAAGAAAATTAATGGGTTTGTGTGGAAGGAAGGGTGTCAGGTAGGGCAGGAGAGGAAACAGAATACAGGGGGGTGTGTTTTGTGGTTGGATTGTACATTGTTTTGACAAGTAGTGTTAATTGACAAGTCCATATCAGAAGACATACTGAACATACCAGATTCAACAGCACACGCATTCCCTCGCTCTGTCTTCGGCAGAAGTTCTGTTCGTTCTTTATTTGTGACAGGGAAATTCCGAATTAAAGTACAAACAGCATGTTTTGCAACAGGAGTCAAGGCACAAGTCATTACTGCACGTTTTAGTTCTGATCCATCCTTCTTCCTTACAGTTAGGTATCGATTTGCCCCTTTTCTGGGAAAAACAAAAAAGGTATTTTAGGAATAAGCAAACTAGTTACTCAAATGTAACAATCTTTGATCATAATTTTTTCAAGATAGCTGTCAAATTTTTTTCAAATATAATGTTATAACTAGAAACTTCCAAATTATGCCCTAAGTAGCATAACGCACACCAAAGTAATAGCAACATCCCCAATATCCACTACCAAAGGCACACTGTTCACATGAGATAGTGCAGCAGACACTGCAGACTTCAGATCACTATGCTCAGTACAACCTTACAATTAGGCCTCTGTAATGTGACATTCTTCTGCTGTCTTTGGTTAAAGGTCCATTACTGCATTTGCCTCCCAAAATACAGGCAGCTCTATCAATCAATACTGAGAGTTACTACACAAAACTAATTTCTAGACTAACTTAAAAGATCTAGAGGTTAAAAATCAACAAATAGGCAAAGCAGGCAAACAAGATGTCTGCTAGTGACATTCCAAGCCTTAACAAAATCCAGTAAAACAAATTAAGATTCCCATTATGTTCATTATCAAAAATTTTCTATTTAGAAATAGTGCCATAACATTTAATTGTATCACTGCATTTGTCCTCAGACTGAACTCGGACACAGAAATGTAAAGAGTAGTTGTAAACAAATTTGAAACGGAACCATCTTGTGCCTGGGCTACAATGACATAATAACCCTTTGAAAATGACTTCTCAGGGTAAGAACAGAAGGTCACACTAAGAGCCCAGTGCCCTGTTCCTGTCAGAAGTAGAAGAGTGGTGCAGGTACCCAGGTGCTGGCCCAGGCAGTCTCTGTGAGGAGAGGCACAGCCACTCTGGCAGACTCAGTTTCTGTCCTCTTTACATCCTCACTTTAAGTATTTATACACACTGATGAGATCCCCCTGAGCCTTGTCTCCTCCTGGCTGAACAGTCTCTCTCACCCCTTCCTAAAAGGGGAGATGCTCCAGTTCTTTCATCACGTTGTTGGTCCTTCATGGAACTCTCCCCCATCTAGGTCTCCGTCCTCCTGGTGATCCCAGTACTGGACACAGCACTCCAGGTGTAGCCTAATCAGTGCTGAGTGGGCAAGGATGACCTCCCTCCACCTGCTGGCAACACTCCAACCCTCTTCTGCACTTCCCAATAGAGGCACTCTTCTGGACCTGCTGCTTGAAGTTACATTTCATCTGTCAAGGTGTGAGATTCTATGCAAAGCCTTTGAACACACAGGAGTCCATGAAAAAAACCAAGAGGAAGAACACATCTTGGAGAGAAGTCTTTTTTATGGACATGGAGTCCACAGGAGCAAGCTACCTCAAACTAGTCTGTCACAAGGTTTTTTTAAGCAGACATCAGGTGCTAAATTTTATGTCTGCGTTTTATTTTTTCTAGTACTATTCCCTGGAACAGCTCAAGATATCCTAGAAGTACAGATCGTTTTCATGCTAGCAATGAAATTCCATAAATTCGCACCAAAAAGAGAAAATAATACATAAAAATCAGAGTCCAACTTACCCTTTACTTTTAGATATCAGTCCAAGAGACTGACAGAGCCGGTGAACAAACGCTCTTTCAGTACTAGTGAAAGAAGAGGGAAATTCCATTTCTAGAAAGATAATTAAAAAAAAGTAACAGCGCAGGAGGCAGTATTCTCGACATATTACCTCGATCCTACGAGGGCTTATAAATCCCCGAACCCACCACGCTTCCCGAGCACACCGGGACTGGCTGCCCCTGCACGCCCGTAAGGGGTCCCGGCGGCGCCGCCGCCCCGCTCGGGCAGGTCAGGGCCCGGCAGACGCCGCTCCCGGGGAGGAGCCCGCGGGCTCCGGTGTCCGCCGGCTCCGCTCCGGCCTCGCCACTCCCCGGGGCCGGGCCGCCGCACACACCTGTGTCCTCTCCGTAGCGGAACCGCTCCAGAGCGAGGTTCACCGCGATCTCCACCTCCTCGTCCACGCGGACATCCCTCAGACCTTTGCCGCCTCGGACGCGGGCCGCCGCCGCGGCGGTGCCCGAGCCCCCCGCGCCCCTGCCGGGCTGCCTGGGCGGGACGTGCCTGGGCCGCGACATGACTCCGCGGCGGACAGGGGGCTCCGCGGCGGACAGGGGGCTCCGCGGCGGACAGGGGACTCTGCGGCGGACAGGGGGCTCCGCAGCGGGCAGGGGGCTCAGCGAACCCCCCGTGAGCGCAGCGCCGCCGGCGCAGCAGCGGGCCCGGCCGGCGCGGGGCCGTGACGCGCTGCTCAGCGCCCGGCAGGGAGGGGAGGGCGGAGCTGCCGGGACCCGGCGGTGGTGTCTGCGAAGGGCGCAGTCGCATGATAATGGAAAGGAAATGGCCGTGGTTGCTTTTTTAAACCCCATTAGACTGTTAAAAGTGTGTATCGTTGGAGTGGTGCTAGGCAATAGTATCGCAGTCGGCCGTAACTAAAGAAGTAGCACTGATACCTGTCAGGTCAGGAATTATGCGATTTAATTGAATGACGGTATATGTAGGGTAACATCATCGCAGTCCTCAGCGTTGTTGTTTTGAATGTTTTACAGAATCACATAGTCATCAGGATTTTCCTTCTCTTTCTCCCTGTTCCGTCTTAATTTTTTCCTCTCTTGTTTTGTCGTGACAAGGCACAGCTATCATATTCTACCCCTTGCTCTGTACCAAAGTCTGTGGTGAGGACTAGGAGCTTGTTGAAGTTAGTTGTAAAAGTTGAGAGCTTGTTAACCAACACTTCTACGATTATAGAGTGGTCTAGTTGCCAGAATTAAGGCAATTGTATTATAAAAGGATAGGAGTTCCCTGACACATGGACTGGTATCTTTACCAGTCTCATCGGGTAAATTCCCGATGAGAATTTACAATGAACATCACATCCCCAGCCAAATGGGTCGCAGTGTGGTCGGACAGGGAAGTTTCCTTAAGAGTTTGGCAATCCAAATGGGACCCTAGCCCACCACTGTCAGAGCCCTTTTCCAAACATCCAAACTAGCAAAAAGGGAACAGCCAAACTGTGTGAGTTCACCTGGGACCTTTGGAGCAGGGAGGATTCAAAGGATGAGTGCTAAAATTCTCAGAGCATATTCAATATAAATCATAAGAATCTCAAATTATTACTATTAAATTTCTCAGATTATTTTAGTCTCTCTGTTGCTGCAGCATTTTTTACATATTTGGTGAAATTACTGTAGTGGGTCAAGTATGGGTGAGCAGCCTGATCAGCGAAAAGCACACATAAAAGGGAGTTTTTAGGGTCTCTCCCAAGTCGCACAAGGGACTGAAGTAGCTTGTAAGGCGTGCAGAGGACTGGGGTCCCCTGTAAAACATGCAGGGAGCTTGGAGTTGCTCATAAGGCATGCAGGGGCTCATAAGGCGTGCAAGGGGACTTGAAGTTTAGAGTCTGCTGTTGAACATGGGTCAGTCAGTCCTAAGCACCAGGAAAGCGCTGTTCCGAATGGATGGTTCATGATCTCTGATGGTCTTCACTGATTGGAGTGGGGAGATTGGTTCAGATCCCCAAATCTGGAGTGGCAGAGATGGGTGGTGCGTGGCGCCTAGTCTGCTGATGTAACCCATCCCAGAGAAACCATCATGAGCTCTGGGGAGAACTCCACCGGTGCACAGTAGGCTCTCACCAGCCCATGGCCATCCAGGGGAGGAGGAAATTCTGCAGCAGGCTGTACCCATATCCACAGCAGGTCTCCAAGGTAAACAGCCCATCTCTCAGCATTGCATTGCAAACACTGGGGGATGATTTGAGGGATTAACTGAACCTCAGGATAGCAAGAAAAGATTGATAGGAGAGTTGCTTAAGCATTTAGAAAGATATAGATGTGCTATATCATGTGTGATAGACAGTCTTTTAGTGTGTGGTGATTCCTTCAAGACACTCTAAGTTTTCTTTGCAACTAGTAGGCAATTGGTGAACAGATGGATCATGTCCCTAGAAAGCACAAACACCCACTGAAAGAATTGTTCACTCTGGGTTGCTGCTGTGTGCACATGGAATCTCTTCAAAAAGAGGAAACCAGGAAGATCTGCATGTAGAGGCACACCATGTGCTATTTGTAACTACTTGAATTGATTGTTTTGGTGTAAATTGGAAATACCATGCCTGGAGGAGGTTCTCTAGAAGACATATGTCAGCTGAAACACTGCTTTATTTTTTGTATATATATGAGATTCTTGTGGACTACTACTTGCTTGTAATGATGGTAAAAGCACATTTTTCTACGTATACATTTATTTCGGTATCAGCTGTTGTACAATCGGTTCATGTAGGTGATTTCTCATTAGCAAATTGTGATGAGAATGCTTGTATACTAGATGTATTGCACTAGCAAAAAGGGAACAGCATGCATCTCCATCCAAACTTCAGCTGTGTCAAAAGGAAACATAAATATTTGGCTGTATTTTGGGGAAGGGGCAATGAGTGATAGATCCAGAAAAAGTAGAGGCCATAATTAAACTCCCACATCTGGTTTTCTTGAAGCTATGGGATTCCCAGTTAGGAGAAATGGCTAAGTCTCTGACTGAGGCAACTGAGAACTAGGAGCCAGAAAATAGCTAGTGGAGAGGTACTGTAGAAATTCGGACCTGATGAGAGATCTCTTGCAACCAGATCCAGTTGCAGCAGGGGCACCAAGTCAATTGAACCAGACAGGGGAGCTCATTTTACAGCAAATATAATCAATCAACTGAATATGTCATTAAGAGATCAGTTGTTTTGAAGATGGTGCTAATAACACCAAGTTTGCAGGTTCGATCCCCATATGGGTCATTCATTTAAGAGTTGAACTTGAGGACCTTGTAGGTCCCTTCCAACTCAACGTGTTCTGTGTGTGAACTTATACCCCAGTTAAGACCAGCTTGTTGGATGGAGATGAATACTTGTCCCAGTATGTTAACAAGTAGTGAATGATGAGTAACAGATTTTGAGAATCCTGTGTGATTTTATATTGATAATCATTTCTGCCCTTGTGTTAAGTTTGTTACTTGTTATAATGTTGATGTTAGGGCAGTGGTTAAGTGCCTTGAAACTTTCCTTTTGTCCCTTTCAATGTATTAGCTGGTATGCTCAATTAAAACAAAGTTAGGACTGTTGAGGAGTACATTAAGTGCAGATAGGTCAGTGTGCAGCTGCATTGCAAGCTGCAAATTGGGCTCTGGATGGCAGGAGCCTGAGATAAAAGGTCCTTAACTAGTGCTGATATTTGCATAAAAGAACTTTCCTTAAAAGAAATAAAGAAAAATGGTCTTAGAGAAGAGTTGTCCTGTGGGTCGGGAGAGGCCAGAAGCCACCTAGTATTTCCTGCACACTCAGGTGGCCCCAGCAGACAGAGCTCCCAGGATTAGCTCTGCAGAGACCTCCAGCAGTGTGGCCGACCACTGTAGCAGACAGAAGGCCAGCCATTGTCCAAGAGAGAGGGCCGCCTCCTCCACGCCATGCGGAGCTGGTTTTGCAGCAGCCTGAATCTGAAGGAAGGATGTCTCTCTACAGCTCTTAGAAAGTGGAGGGTTTGAGTTGCGAGGTTTGAGATGGAGGTGCTAAAGTTATTTGTCGTGCCTTGACGTGCTGAAACAGAGAGGAACAGAGCCAAGGTTTAGGGACCTCAGGAACCCCTCTTGCCAGGGTCACCCCACCCAGCCCTTCCCATGGTCAGAAGGGAGCAGGAACTAAGAGGGTAAGCCCTAAACTGTTTGCCATGAATACCACACAAGCTCCTAAAGTCTCTCTCTGCTCTGCCCACACTGCCCTTTGTCTGGGCAGGGAGCAGAACCCTCTCCAGCTGTCCAGGATCCTTCCTCCTTTCATGCCAGTCCCTGCTGACAGCCTCCTGCCCTCATTCACCCTCACAGGTGACCTGGAGCAATTCTTCCTGCCCCCTCATGTGCCACCTGATGTGCCCTAGGAAAACACAGCCTATCATGGCCTCAGCAGCACAGCTCCCCGACAGCAGCGCTGCCAGCCCAGCTGCACGTACTCCTCCCCTTGGCAGGACTGAGCCACGTATAAAGCACAAGGGCAAGGGTAGGAGAGAGTGGCAGAGGGTCCTGAGACGTAGTCAGGGTACCACAGCCACTGGGCTGGGTCCTGCTGCCAGTGCAGCAGCTAGAGCTGAGGCCAAGCTGCAGTGGGGCGGCAAGGGACTCTGGGGGTTGTGGCTCACCAGTGAGCCTGATGGCTGCCTCTCGCATGGACTTCTGTGGGCTATGCAGATATGACACGGACTGGCGCAGGTACTCGTCTGCTCTGCTTCTGTCCTCTGCCAGCTAGAGAGAGCAGAAGGGGACACAGGGAAGGGTTGGCACTGATTCTTTCCCTTGGCTGAGCAGCTCCTGCACCCAGGACTGACATTCCCTGCTTGGACACCCATGACACCCAGCCAGCAGCTGGCTGGTGCCAAGGTTTGGAGGGAGCAGAGGGCTGAGTGCTCCCCAGGAAGCCCCAGTATCACTCTGATGCCAAAGCACAGCTGGGTCAGGACTCTGTCAGCACCCTGGCTCAGGGAGGGAGAAGAGCCTGGAGAAGAGCTTGCTGGGCCACACACCCGAGGAGAGTAGTGCGTGGGGTGCAGGCAGGTGGTGATGTGTGCAGGAGTGGGCAGGGGCCACAGCTGGCACCCTCACACATTGAGTAGCGGGAGCAAAGAGCTTGCTCAGGCTGGGTCTGGGGTTTCAATGCCATCCTTACCAGGCACTCGCTGAACCTCCACATCTCTTCTGTCTTCAGCAGCTCCTCAAGATTCCACTTCTTCAGGAACTTTGTTGCTTGAAGCAGGGTTTCCCAAGAGGCCTGCAGAGTCAGAGAGACTGGGAGATAGCACAGCAGCCCAGGACACAGGACCTGCATCCCTGTGGCCAAGGCCAGGAGGAGGCAGGAGCACTGCAGTCTGCAAGGTGTTAGGGCAGTAGGCAGTTGAGCCTCCTTCACAGGGGACAGCAGGAGCTCAGAATCCTCACCTGCGCCACACACTGGTTCTCATCATACATGTGATAGAAGAGCGGTAACAGGCTCTGGTGCACATTCTTCTCCAGGAGCTTTTTTTCCTCTTCTGGTACCAACTCCATTAGCACTTGAAAGAGGTGAATGGACAGGAGCTGCACATGGCTAGTGTCCTAGTGGAAATGAAGAGGGCAAGACCTCAGCACCAGCTTCTCCAGGCCCACCTGAGCATGGGCCTGAAATTCCGCAGGGTATAAAGTTTCCTGGCAGCACCCAGTGCCCCTGGCAGGAGGCACAGAGCCTTACGTTCTCAAATAGTGGCAGGAGTGCCTCAGCCAGCTGCACAGCAGTGGAACTGGCAATTGACACGTCTGCGTCCCGGAGCACCTCGCTGAGCACAGAAAGGGTCATGCCCACCAGCTCTCCATCCTGATCCTTCAGTACCTCTGTGAGGCTTTCAGTCAAGGCCAGGATAGTGTTGGCCTGCGTGGAGCACAATGCAATATTCTGAAGCCATCAAAGGCTGCACTGCCAAAACCACTCCAGCAGTTCAACCCCACACTACTGCCTCAGAACAAAGAAGCCAGAGGCCTGTTCTGAAGGACTCTGGTGGCTGAATGGGGAGTCAGGAATGCTGGCAGCAGGTGACACAGCTGCTGAAGCCCAGACAAGTCCAAACTACTGTGTTACCCAGCCCCACATGGCCAGCACAGCTTCAGCCAGCTGCCTGCTTCTTACCATAGAGGGTCTCTTGCAGAGCAATAGGAGGCATCTGAGCAGCAGGAGACGCATCTCTCTGCAATCTCTCCTGAGGTAGATTGGGACAAGCTGCAGGATGCGTTCATCCCATTCCTTTATGTTTAGGCAAGGCAGGAGCTGAAACATACAGAGCAGTGACTGTGGTCATATGTGGTGTTTGTGGCATAATATGATGCCGAAATACAGGCAGAAAGTTATTTGCTTCTTGTCCTTCCATCATGTTCAGACACTGCATGTAGATAAGCAAAAGAATCTTGAAAATGTGAAGGTGAAGTGGAAAGCAGGCTTGACTCCAGCAGCAGGGGGCCAAGGGCACACAGCAGAGCCCACCCTCTGCCCCAGCTCCACAAACTGCAATTCCCCCCACAGCTGTGTGTCGAACAGGGCAGAGTGGAGGGAGGCAGCTCAGCGAGGCAGCACTTGCCATCAGGCTCACCTCAACAAAGAATGCCATGGCAGAGACTTCCCAGCGAGCCTCCTCTCTGCGGAGCAGCCTGAACAGGTAGCGTGCAATCCGGTAACACAAGCACTGTGAGACCCTGAGCATTGCTCTGGAGGAGGAAAAAAGGCATCGCTGACCCTGAGCAGGGTGGGCAAACCTCTCCTGAGACTGAATTACCAAAGCCTGATCCTTCCCCACCACCTCTCAAAAGCAGAAAGGCAGTACCCAACACCGGCAGGGACTGTTGAGGATGACCAGACTGAAAAAACACCTTCCTACGCACAGGGGATATGAGCAACCAGGCTGTGGATGGCCATCAATGGTTGGCCCCAAATCTCTCTGGCCCTGACGGGCTATCCTCAGTGAGGTTCCCTGCAGACAGACCTCCTGTTCTGTGCCATCAGCCCAGGACTCACGGGAGGCCATGCTGGCACTTTGGGTTGTGGCTGCTCCAGAGCACCCAGCTCTCCCAGGCTTTTCCACTCTGCAGGGCCATGCCTCAGTGACAAGTCCCTCTCACCCACGACCACAGGGATTATGTCGGGGCCACCTCATCTCCTGGGGAGAAATGATAGGGGAGCAGGGAGAAGGGAGGTCTCACCTGGCCAGCAGACCCACTGCATACTGGTGATTGTCAATGTTGAGGAATGTGTCCCAGCCACACTCATGTTCAACTTCAGACACCACATCCTCATACTCAAGATGGCAGAGCAGTGATTTCATGGTCTGCACTATGAATCTGTGTACAGAGCAAAGCCCAGGTCATGCCAGGATTCCTGAGCCCAGCTCCAAGGGCATGGGAGGGACAGGAGGACTGTGATGCAGCACCTGCTGGGGTTGGTGGGAAGGCAGTGCTCCTGCTGGCATCTCCTCCAGAAGGTATTGACTTCTACTGGCATCTGCGCTGTGCTGGAGAAGATTTGGAATAGCAGAGCCACAAAGAGGCGGGGGAAGTACATCATCAG